ATTACTGTAAATTATGACCTCCATTCTAATTTAGTACTTAAACTTTAAAACATCATATGTCAATCCCTAAACTATTCCTTATTCTATATTGATCCCTAAACTTTTAAACATTTTTTATCAATCTTCAAACTATCAATACCATTCTATTTTGATCATTATGGCAACGTGTCATTAAATTAATTGATTAAAAAAGTTAATATGTTTTTTAAGGTCTTGGGAATTTAATCCATGACTAGGGATTAGCAAAACTCGACTCAACTTGAAAATTTGACTTTTTTTACTCGACTCGAATTAACTTCTTGTAATTTCATAAACTCGACTCGACTCGAAAAAAATTCAAATTTGAGTTGAGTTATAAAATAGAACTCGAATAACTTGAAATTTTTAGTAATTAGTGGATTAATTTTCAAGTTTGAATAGAGTATCTCGACTCTGTATGATATATGTATATACTAGTTTGAAGACTAGTATCCAAATGTTTTAAAATTCAATGATCAATTTAAAATAAGGGTCATAGTTTAGGGTCCTTCTATGCAATTAACTATATACTATTTCTTTTTTATTTTGAGTTAATTGTATCATATGTCCCCAAAACTATGACCCTCATTCTAAATTGGTCCCTAAACTTTTGAATATTTTAATTTCACCCTCAAACTATGATACTCATTTTAAATTAATCCTTAAACTTTTGAACGTTCCAATTTCATCATTAAATTAAGACCCTCATTCTAAATTGATTCCCAAACTTGTAAATCTTCCAATTTCATCCCCAAATTCATCCAAATATGCAATTAGTTTTAATCATAGTTTAACCTAGACTTTATCTTTTTCAAACATATAATAATATAGTTTGACCTAACGATTTTATTAACATGAATTCTGGTTAGTATGTACATATAATTTGGAATGAAATTTAAATGTTGAAAAAGTTTAGGGACTAATTTAGAATGAATGATATAGTTTAAGGATGAAACTAAAGTGTTCAACAGTTTGAGGACAAATTTAGAATGATAGTCATAGTTTAGGGATAAAATTAGAATATTTAAAAGTATAGGGACCAATTTAGAAAGAGTGTCATAGCTTGAGGACATATGATGGAATTAACTCTTTAACTTTAAAGTATATATATTTTTATTAATCTAGGGTGATTGCAATGTAGTATATATTCTAAAGATTTTCAAACATTTGATAATAAAAGCTTAAACATCATTGTAATCTTTGGTGCTCGATTATAAGTTCTATCGAGATAACAATCTTCCTTTAATCATTGAGATAACTTGGTTTGTCTTTTAAAGTATATTTTTAAAATGCTTGAGTTTGACTTTCCTTATTTCAATGCACCAATTCAGTTGGGAAAATATAAAAATCAAATCAAAGTATATTAATTACTAATTATTATAAAACATTTTTAAATTCTTTTAAAAATAAAATTTTAAGAATAGGACACGTAATGAGCAATATTCTTTGTATAAAGAAATGTTTTGTTCAAAAAGGTGTTCAGAGATGAAAACTATCTACCCATTATTATTTATGATATTAATTGCTTCTTTATTCAAATTCTTCTTCCATGACGAAATTCCTTTGTCTTAAGCAACTCAAGAAGTTGATTATCATTATTTTTTTTGCCCTTATGTGGTTCTTTAGGCTTTATCTTGACTAATCCAGATTGATCTAGATTGTACACTTAACTTTGGTGAATATTTTTTAATAGAAATTGTTAATTTTATTAAAAATAAAGTGTCTTATGATTATTGCAAATAAATGTATATAAAATAATAAATCATAATGGCAATTTTAAATTATTTAAAAAAAATACTAAATCATTTTAATAATTATCCATCAAAATTCCTTATATAATCTTATACAATCTGTGTATATTTAAGATTATGTGCAAAACTATTAAAAAAAAGATTAAGTGCAAATTGACTGTACAAGATAGTCTTTATAATGGGTTTGATAGTCTTATAAATTTCGTGCAGTAGATTATATAATTTTAAAAATATACACAGATTATAAATATATTATAATTATTATAATAATTAACATTAGATTTAATAATTTAATAAATGCATTATCCTTTAGATTAACCCGTATATAATCTTAAAATAATCATTAATAATTTTTTTAATTAATTTGTTAAAAGAAATATAATATAAATTTAATTAACAGATTATCTTTAAAATATACATAAATTATAATTATTAATTTTAAAATCATCAGATAAGTAACATTTTAATCCATTATGTTTACAAGAAATTTATTATGATTCCATTAACAGATTATCTTAAAAATACACAAGATTAGAGTTATTAATTTTAAACTTATTATCTTTTAAATAATGTCAAAATTTTGAATTTAAATGTTTTAAATAAAAAAATTAAATTAAAACAATCATTATTATAATGAAATTCTACAAACTATTGTCGTAACCGGTTTTCTTCCAGAAACGATTTACTTTTACTTGACGGGAAAATTTAAAATAAATAAATGATTTTTATAAAATAATATTTTGGGAGTCACCATTGACCTTTTTGGGTTAGATAAGTCAAATACCTAAAAATAATCTTTTAAAATAGTTTTGAATAAAACATAATTTAAAAGATAAAACTGATCTGCTTATAATAAAAAAATTTAGTAAAAAAAGATTCTTGGTCGATTACGTTTAGGGAAGGATTAACACCCCTAAAACGCCCAAAATCGGTACTTTATTAATTATAAATTGTCTCTATTATTAGAAATTTAAAAATTCAAAGATATATTTAATTTATAATATTGCTATTTCAAATTTATAATTTTATGAAAATATATTAATTTAAATATAAATAAGATATTTATTTATTTAGAAATATCATAAAAGGGCTTCTAGGTGCTTTAAGGCAGCTCATTTCTTAATATGAAAAAATAAATAAATATTAATAAAACATTTATTAAAATATATATAATTTATAAAGTAAGATAAAATATTTATTTATTTAAAAATATCAGAAAATGGACATCTAGTTGCTTTAGAACTGCCCTTTCTTAATATTGATAAATATATTAAAATATGATTAAAATGATTTAAAAATAATATATTAAATAGAATTTTAATAGAAATAAAATAAATAAATATTATTTAATAAAACTATATATATGTATTTATGATTAAATATTAATAATAATATATTAAAATAAACATGTAAAATATATTATTTATTAAAATTATATATATTTATGATTAAATACTAATAATAAAACATATTGAACTATAAATGAATAATGAATAAATTTAATTAAAACTATATAAAAAAACTTGTAATCGGCAATAAATGAAAATATTAAAAATAGTAACTAAATCAGAACATGTTAAAATTAAATATCTAATTAGTAAATAATTATTTAATATTCCAGTGACTAAACATGTAATTTTTCCTATATTTTTTATTTAGGGACTAAAATAAAATTATATAAAGTTCAAACATCAAATTGAAAGAAATTAAAACATTTTGTTCATGATTAAAATATAAATTACTAAAATCATAATAACTAATTAGGTTATTTTACCTATAATTAAATTAGTGACCAAATTATAAAGAAATTAAAATTCATGTGCCGAATTAAAGATATCTAAAATTTGATTTAGTGACCAAAATATAAAGTTATAAAGTTATGATGGCAGAGGGTATAATTTATCTATTAATAATTACAGGAACACCCCTCCCCAAAACGACGTCGCTCGGGGAGGGGTATTTAAACCCTAATCCCAACGACCTTAAGGCCAAAACTTCACTTCTCATCTCTCTCTAAACTGAGAGAGTTTTAAACTCTCTCGCCTCTCTCTAGCTTCTCTCATCGGAGGGAAGCCAGTCATCGACCGGCAACCATCGCCGTTGCCAGCCTCACCTTCAGCCACCGTCGTTGGTGGCCGAAAAACACCAAAATTTCTTAAACACTAGATCCGAGTACCCTAAACTCAATTCCAACCTTCTTTCATCCTAAAAAGCCATAGATTTTCCTAGATCTAAGGAAATACCTTTGGTATTTTAGTTTCTCATGCGTCGTTTGTGGTTCTCCAGCAAGGTAAGCTCTTACTTCTCTCTTCTCAGTTGGTTGTTGGTTGTTGTGAGTTGGTCTCTGTTTTTTTTTCATTGCTCTCTGTTCTTGCTCGTTGCCTTTTCTTATTTTGCAGGTTAGGTGGTTTTATAGCCACCACCGAGTCTTGCCTCGGACCTGTCACAAGGGTAAAGTTTGGTGAGTCACCGAACTTTCAGTGGTGACTCACTGTTGGGGACGACGTGTGCGGTTATGGATGGGCCTTCTGGAGCCTTCGGTTGGCGTCGTGGCAGCGTGTGAAACGACGTGGAGCGGCGTAGATCGGCGGCGACTGCGTGTCCCTAGGGTTATTTCTGGTGCATTTGGGACCGTTGGATAAAGCTAGATCCAACGGGTGATGATTGAGGGCGGTTGAAGAAATTGATACAAACCCTAAATAGGTTTAAGGTTTGTAGTTGGGCCGATCTGGGTTGGGTTCTTGTAATTGGGCCGGTCTGATTTTGAGCCTGCAATGTTATTTGTAATTATTTAATAATAATAAAAAAATATAATAATAATTATTATTATAATAATTATAATAAAATATAAATAATATTCAAATGAAAAAAACGAGTATCTTCAACTATAATAGTGCATCAATAAATCAAATGTCAACCGTAAAACTAAAAATGAATGTTTTTCTTTGTTAAAATATCTATATCTAAACTTACATACCCATTCAAATAATATTACTCTGAACCTGAATTATCTAAAAATAATATTATTATTTTTTATTATCGAATTCAACTAAACTAAAAATAATATTTTTTAAATAATTACTGCTTTGTATTTACCAGTATTAATAATAATTAAAAAAAATACGAACTTTTAAAAGGTAAGAGGAAACCGGGTTGACGAAGCAGGCATGTAAGACAGCTAGGGTTTGCCTCACGCTACACTCTCTCTCTCTCTCTCTCCCCCCCCCCCCCCACTTCTTCTTCTTCCTTTTTGTCATTCGTCACTACCCTCACCCACTCTTTGCTCTTTCATTATCACTCTTTTCTTTTCTTCTTTCAATGCCTTCAAATCTAGTGTAAGGGAGAAAGAAAAGAATAGCAGTTTCAGGTCAAAATCCAGCCCACATTGCCCTCCTTGTCTTTACCAGCACCAAAAATGGCAACTCGGATTCTTTTCACTGCCATTCTTTCTTTCCTATTACTGCAGCTCGCCGAACTAGACCTTGTCACCGACAGAGCAGCGCTTTTGGCGCTCCGTTCTTCGGTCGGAGGCCGAACCCTCCTCTGGAATATCTCCAACCAGAGTCCATGCTCCTGGGCTGGTATTACGTGCGAGCAGAACCGCGTTACGGTGCTTAGGCTACCTGGTGTTGCTCTCTCTGGTGAAATCCCCACTGGAATTCTCGGAAACTTGACTGAACTGCGCACCCTCAGTCTCCGTTTCAACTCTTTAACCGGACGACTCCCTTCGGATCTTGCTCTTTGTCGAAATCTCCGGAACTTTTACTTGCAGGGAAACCGTTTCTCCGGTGAGGTACCGGAGTTTATGTTTGGTCTTCATGCTTTAGTGAGGCTAAATATTGGTGGGAATAATTTTACTGGTGAAATTCCAGTTGGGTTCAACAAATTGGCGAGGTTAAGAACTTTACTTCTTGATAGCAACAGCTTTTCTGGCTCGGTCCCTGATTTGAGTTCTTTGAAGAATCTCGGTCAGTTTAATGTGTCAAGTAATTTGTTGAACGGCTCAATTCCCAAGGGGTTGCAGAAATATGGATCCGATGCGTTTCTGGGGAATTTGCTTTGTGGGCAGCCCCTCGACAAGCCTTGCCCTGCTACAGCTACTGCTGCTCCTGGGAATGCAAGTGAGCCTGCTAATCCAATGAATGGGAATAAACCAGAGAAAAATGAGAAGAAGAAGAGCAAGTTGTCTGGTGGAGCAATTGCAGGTATTGTTATCGGATCTGTGCTGGGATTCCTACTGATTGTTATGATTTTGATGATTTTATGTAGAAAGAAGAGTAGCAAGAAAACGAGGTCAGTTGATATTGCTTCGATTAAAAATAAAGAAATGGAGATTCCCGGGGAGAAATCTGAAATGGAGAATGGTGGATATGGGAATGGGAGTGGGCATTCAGTGGCCGCGGCCGCTGCAGCTGCAATGGCGGGTGGCGGTGGAGCCAAAGCGGCTGAAAATAGTGGGAGTGGAGCTAAAAAGTTGGTTTTCTTTGGGAATGCGACGAGAGTGTTCGATTTGGAGGATTTGTTGAGAGCTTCTGCAGAGGTCTTAGGCAAAGGAACGTTCGGAACAGCATATAAAGCGGTGTTGGAAGGTGGAAATGCAGTGGCTGTTAAGAGGCTCAAGGATGTCACAGTATCGGATGGCGAATTTAAGGAGAAGATTGAAGGGGTTGGAGATATGGATCATCAACATTTGGTCCCCCTCAGAGCTTACTATTTTAGTAGGGATGAGAAGCTTCTTGTCTATGATTACATGCCCATGGGAAGCTTATCTGCGCTTTTGCATGGTGAGAACATTTCCATCCTTTTGAATTTATCTTTTGCTTCTAACTCTTTTTTTAGGCTATTATGTTATTAGTTGGCTTATAAATTTGGTTCCTTTGTGAAGATGATCACAAATTGAATTCTTTCATTTTAGCACTATTTATTGTCATTATCTTCTAATTGAGATTCATTTTGTATGCCTTATTCATCTCCAGGGGGCTTATAGGTTGATTTAAAGTAATTCTTCATTTACCTCTGCGATTTATGGGAGTCTGAAATGATAGTGCTGTATGCACCTTTACTTGTTCTTTCATTTCACTGTAACTTAATTTTGGGATGCAGGGAATAAAGGGGCCGGAAGGACTCCGCTGAACTGGGACATTAGATCTGGAATTGCTCTTGGAGCTGCCTGTGGAATCGAATACCTGCACTCTCGAGGGCCTAATGTCTCTCACGGAAACATTAAATCGTCGAATATCCTCCTCACTAAATCGTATGAAGCACGAGTCTCGGATTTTGGCCTGGCAGACATTGTAGGGCCTTCGTCTAGTCCAAATAGAGTTCTCGGGTACAAGGCACCTGAGGTGACTGACCCCCTCAAAGTGTCTCAAAAGGCTGATGTTTATAGCTTCGGTGTGCTGCTTTTGGAGCTATTGACTGGGAAAGCCCCCACCCATTCGATCTTGAACGAAGAAGGAATTGACCTCCCGAGGTGGGTGCAGTCTGTTGTTCGTGAGGAATGGACTTCCGAGGTGTTTGATCTTGAGCTCCTCAGGCATCAGAATGTGGAGGAAGAGATGGTCCAACTCTTGCAACTCGCAGTAGATTGTGCTGCACAATACCCTGACAAGCGTCCTACCATATCTCAAGTGAGAAACCGAATTGAGGAGTTACGCAGCTCTAGTTTGCGAGACGATCTAAATGTACATCCTGCCTGATTAAGATCAATGAGGAAGATGGCGGCTCCGGACGAGTTAGCTGATTAGCTAAAGCAGGCCATCATACATCATTTCGTATGATGGGTGGTAGTGGTAAATGGATTATCAAACCCCCTTCTAATATTTCTTTTTCAACGTCCATAATTAGCATGTTTAGTTTGGTGGTCTTAGGCCTTGTTGTATGCTTCACTCTATCTCAGTTTCATATTCCTTTAATAGGCGCCATTGTAATTTTCATTGTCATCTTCTTCTTCTTCTTCCCATCTAATTCTCCCATTGGCTGTTGGATTGTATTTCTTTTCTTTTTCATTTATACTTTGAGGTGGAAATGTGTTCTAATGTGGTTGGTGTTGGGTGGATATTGGTAGTTGTAATTATTACCTTTGCATTTTGCATTTGCAGCTTTTTATATGTTCAAGACCAGGCTGTTTTAGTTGCTTTAAAAGGTTAGCTGTGATCTGATGTCTGTTAACGAATGGGATTTTTTTTTTCAGAAACATAATCATTGATTTGGCTGCCATTACTACCTTTAAAAAAAAGGGTTTAGCAAGGAATCTTTGACATTTGCAGACAATCAATTAGAAGATAAGAATCATGAGAGGGTAATGATATTTTAGGTATGGAATTTAACAAAGTGTTTGATATATTCCAAATGTACGTAGACAGTCGGTGTGTGTGAGCGTGATTTGAAGATGATGGAAGCATGACCTGACATTTTCTCAAAAGGTGGTACTTTTATTTATGCCCAAAGTTTTATCCAATACCCTCCATTAGTTTATGCAACATGGGATTATGGGATGGGATTAGTGAGGTTGGGTTTTTGATTTACTCAAATTCGATTCAAAAATTAATTTTTTTTATCTGTATTTAACTCAATTCGAGTATAGAATGATCTTATCTGATTTAATTTTTAGATCAAATGTGCATTTCATCTGATCTGATTAGAGATATATATTAGGTTGGATAAAGACTTAAAAAAATATTGAAAGGACTACTATTATAATTATTCTTATGCGTTTTGACCAAAATATTAACCGTACATCTAATAATTATCTGTAAGATATTCTTTCTTTAATATTACCGATCTAACATCTTTTTTGATAAAGCGCAGATCATTATCCGCTTCTTCGTCGAGTTCTGCCTGAGTTGGTGTCACATCAAGAAAGGCGTGGATCGTCATTCGCGCCTTCGTGGGATTTCTGACAAGTACGTAAGGCGCAGATAATAATCCGCGCCTTTCCATTAATACCCCAACCATCCACCTCCCACATTTATGGGAACACGTCTACCCCCTCCCCTCTTCCGCCAAGCACAACCTCCTATAATTTTGATGTGGTGATGTTTGCATAGAGGGAATTCTTATTTATAGGGGAAGGGAGGGTTTAAAAGCCGAGTTGCTCAGGTGGTACCAATAATAGAAGGCGCAAATCATTATCTGCACCTTACGTACATTTCAGAAATCCTGCGAAGGCGCGGATGGCGATCCGCGCCTTTCTTGACGTGGTGCTAGCTCAGACAGAACCCCGCAAAGGGGCGGATGTCGATTTGCGTTTTGTTAGAAATGGTGCTAGATCAATAATATTAGAAGAAACGGTACCTGACAGGTAATTATTAAGTGTACGGGTGATATTTCGGTACAAACGCCTTATTCTTAAATATATAATTGATAATTATAATGTTATGTCGGGTCAGAGTTCGACTCCACCTTTCAAAAAATCTAATTCAATCCAATTTCACTTTTCTTAAAACTTAACTCCATCTTTAGAAAACTCAACTCAATCTAATCTGATCTGAATTTATTTTTTTTCAAAATAACTCGATCACAAACTATGGAGTCCATATGAAATGTCCAACCCTAGATGGGATGGAAAAATAATAGTTATCCACAAAGTGCTAACGGTTCCTGTTCTTGTCCATTTTAAATTTCTAAAATACTAGACGTTTCAATTATTGATATTAGCGGGTCGAGATGTTATCAGATTTGTGTACAAGAGATGAATGGATTTTGACTTCAATTATTCAAGGTTTACGTTCATCAAGTTTGAACTATTACATACAGGGCCGGTCTTGATTGTTTTTTGACTCAGGACGAAACTAAAGAAGATCCCTAATTTATTTATGTTTAAATATGTAATATAATTTTTTATTAGATTTTTTTATTAAATTAAACAATTATCAATTTATTACAATGTCAAAAATATATTCAAGCATACAAATACTTACAAAAAGCATTGTCTTTCAAATATTTCTTGATTCAAAATCATTAATCATAGTATCAATATCATTGCCATTCAATATATTTTTGCTCCATACATAATATAACATTTGGAAATAAAAGAACGATCTTGTCTAAAATTTAGAAATATTAAAAATCAAAAGAAATGATTTAGAAACATGATCTTACCTAGAATTTTAAGAACAATCTTTAATATGATTTAAGCACCACAATTGATGATAAACAATTGTGACTTTGTGTTTGTGAGAAAATATTATAAATTAAAAAGTGAGAGTAATAATTTTAAGAGGAATTTTGAAATATGGAAAAGAAAAAAAGCATACAAACTATACTTAAAAAAAATTTCTCCCATTGAATTTTGAAGCGGAAAAAATAAAGTCAATAAAAGTTTTCATTGACATGGAAAATCGGAAAAAATATTTGGCGCATTTTTAGTGGTAATTTGAGAACACCAAAATTAAAAAGATTCAAATTGTTTTTTTTTTTAAATTTTGGAAAAAATATTGAATTACACTTTTATGGGGAGTGGAACAATTTATTAACACTAGTATAAAAAATCAACAATTAAAATTGACACCTTAATTAACTAATGGGCCCCATTATTTTATTTTATAATTTTTTAATTTCTTATAAAAAATAGAAAATATTATACTAATAATATTTTTAATTTATGGGCCCTGGGCGGGCGCCCTTTTTCCCTGGCCCAGGGTGGGTCCTGATTACATAGGCTGAGGGATGAATGCCCTTAGATGGAGACGGAGTTAAAGAATTTTATATTACAGTGTTATAATTTTTGTTAAATAACTTTTTAAAAAAGTATGATAAAAAAAGAAGGCTTAATATAAAAATACGTGTTCAAATTACACATCTTTTTCAAATAGGTGTCTAAACTTTTTCGATCAATTCAGGTGTCTATCGTTACAAACGTTACCATTTTAAGTGCTTGTCGTAACGCCATTAAAAATTTCGTTAAATGACACATGCCACGTTATGGTAATTTTGATTTTTTTAAAAATAAAAAAACTTAAACATAAAAGTTTCTCAAATCTTAAAACCCAAAAGTTTGAAAACCCTAATTCTAATCCCAATACACATCGCTCCTCACCATTTACGTTCGTTGTCGTCGGTCGAGCCTCCACGTGACAACAAGACAATCCAGACGACCCATAACTCAGAAACCTGACGTCGATGGCAAATAAAATGAAAAACCGATGAATGAAATTTTTGAAATTCGTGACACCCAAGTGATCTGAAGGCAAGCATGATGGCATGGACGACGATGACTGACAAAGGAGATGTCAGGGGTGGCATAGGCGACGACGATCGTGGCCGGAAATGTAGACTGTAAGAGAAGGTAAGTTTAGTGTTGGGGATTTTAGGTTTTATTTTAGAGATTTTTAGGGATTTGGAGCTTTTTTATAATTTAAGAGAAATTATGATTTTTTAAATAAAATATTTAAAAAAAATAAATTTTCAAAATCATTAGAGCATGACACGTGTCGCTTAACGGAGATTTTTAACGATTGTTACGGTCCAAACACCTAATTTGATATATATCTATATTTTTCTTTAAATTTTTTTTATTTATAATGAACTACTAAGATTTTTCTCCTCTATAAGTGAGAAAATAAAGGATAAAAGTAAATAAAATAAAAAAAGTAAAATATCCTTGTACTTTTAGAAGACTCATAAAAATGAAACAAGAAATAAATAAACTCATCATATATTTATATATCTATCTATAATCTATATAAAATTACAAGCCGAATTTTTTTTTGAATAGATTAAAATACCCTTTACTTTTAATAAACTATTAATTTTTATCTAATATTTTTAGACGTCTAGAACGTAAATCAAATTTTTAAAAATAAATTAATATTGATAGTAAATTATAATTATTATTTTAGATTAATTAACACTTAATTAATGTTACACTTATATATCAATTAAAATTAAGACCTAACATTATAAATAACATCTACTAATTTAGTATTTACAATCAAATAATATCTTAAAATAAAAAAATATTATTAGCACTAATGAGTTAGAAGCACTAAAAAGAAATATAACATTAAAGTAATGATTATTTAAAGAGCGACTGTCGTGCTCTAATAACAATGACGACAGAGAAAGATGAAATATTATTCTAAATGATGGTAAGATAAAACAAGTATTTTAGCTTCTTTTAACCCTTTTAATGATTTAGAACTTCTCTTATGTGTTAAAACAGTAGCTAAAAGAATAGGAGTGAAACTAGAAATTTATTAAAGTGGAAGTAAAATAAAATAGAGAGAGTCTATTAATATCTGCTGATCAATGATCAATTGATCGCATAATAATATCTAATTATGTTCAATTGAGGGAGCCCAATAGAACTTATTTTATTTATTTTTCAAAAATTTATATATTTTTTCAATATTAATAAACATTAAAAAAATAGTTGGCAGGACCCAGACAACTATTTGCCCATGCGAAGTTTCGCACTTGCCAAAGATATTAAGTAGTTGTCAAGAGCTAAAGGAAAAGGAAAGTTAAGAAACATCTAGCAACAAAGCTTCCTTAATTATTGTCGCCGACGAATCCATGCTTTGTTTAGGATGGGTACTTATCCACCTTAAAATATCTTCATATTAATCTTTTATTTCATTAATTGATCTACCTTAAAAATGTGTTTATTGCATGTAATATATGTGTACCTACCTTGAAAAAACATTGCTCGATTAATCACTAGTTACTATGTATTAAGGTAGTACACATTGATATATGAAATATTTTTTGAATTTTATATATGTGATATCTTGTTGGATATTTGTATGTTTAATTTTCTAGAGTAACTATCATGATTATACGCTTGTTATAATGTTTGGTATTTTTTTCTTGCAAATTCTAAATCTAATAATAATCTTACTTTGAGGGAATGGAAAGGAGTGTTCCCAGTAGATCTAGAACCCATGACCTAGAAAATACAAGAGAACAAAAATAAGCAGCTTGGCCAACAAACCAAATATGTTTCTGTAATGTTTGGTGTTTTTAATATGTTAAAATTGTTCCTGAATGTATAATTATGTTCATATGTTAGGTAGGTAACATGTGAAATATGGATGTTTGAAGCATGTTTAAGATTATTTTTGTGTATATTTCTAAGTTTTTTAAAAACGACTATCGATA